AAGAGATAAAGGACACAAGGGAACTTAAGGGAGATGTGGCGTTTTGTAAAGAAGCAGTTGTGAAGCAATTCGTGCAAGGGCCGAGGGAAATCAAAGCGTTGGACTCCAAGGTAATCGACTCCTTTAAACCCAAATCCTATAATGGGAAGAGGGAAGCAAATGAGCTCGACACATTCGTGTGGAACGTGGAGCGATACTTCAAGTACCTGAAGCTTGAAGATGACGAGTCCAAAATCTCGACGGCAACCATGTTCTTAGCCGACAATGCCCTTATGTGGTGGCGTCGTCGGAGCATGGAGATTGAGCAAGGTACGTTCTCCCTCACCACTTGGGATGAATTTAAGAAAGATCTTATGTTGCACTTCTATCCCCAAAATGCCAAGTATGAAGCCAAGGAGAAACTAAGGTGGCTCAAGCAAACGGGGAGCGTCAACGCCTTCGTGAGCTTGTTATTCGAGGTGCCCAACATGTTAGAGGAAGACAAGCTCATGTACTTCATGAGTGGACTGCAAAATTGGGCAAAACTCGAACTACAAAGGAGACACGTGCAAACATTGTCTGATGCCATTGCCGCTGCCGAATCCTTGATTGAGTTTAAATCAAGCCACCAAGGTGATTCCAAGTCCACGGGGAAGAGGGGTAACCATGAGAGAAGTGGGGGAGAACATAAGCCGAAGGACAAGGCCGAGACAAGCAAACCGAAGGAGAAGAAAGCCGATAAGCATGACAAAGGCAAAGGTAAGTCTTGGCAACCCACTTGTTACCTATGCGACGGCCCTCACATGATGCGAGATTGCCCACAAAAGAAGGCCCTTAAGGCCATGGCCTTCAAGGAGGACAAGGCCGAGGAGAGTAACGATGCAACGATGGGATGCATCCGTCTACTGAATGCCATCCAGACAACCCTCCCACAACCTAAGGCTCAAGTTGGGGGAGGATCATTGTTCGTCGACGTCAAGACTGGTGACAAGACGACGCGTGTGTTGGTGGACACGGGAGCAACACACAACTTCATGACGTCGGAGGAAGCCACAAGGCTTGGCCTCCGAGTCACAAAGGAGCCTGGTAGCGTGAAGACGGTAAATTCCGCTGCCACCCCCATTGTTGGAGTTGCGCGAAATGTACAAGTAGACATTGGCACATGGAAGGGAAAGATCGACTTCACCGTAGTCAAGATGGACGACTATGGCGTAGTCATTGGGTTAGAGTTCATGGACAAGGTACGAGCCTTTCCCATTCCCTTCTACAATATTTTCTGTATCCTGGCCGACGGAAGACAACCTTGCCTGGTGCCATTGGAAAGGCAAGCCAAGAAGTGTACCCAACACTTGTCGGCAATTCAATTTGCCAAGTCTTGGAAGAAAGGCGAGGCCACATTTCTTGCAACCCTAATGTTGAATGAAGGGGAGGAGAAGCACGGGCCTTTGCCGAAACAAGTGGAAGACGTCCTTGTGGAGTTTGCGGACGTGATGCCTAAGGAACTGCCAAAGAAGTTGCCACCAAGGAGAGAGGTCGACCATGCAATCGAGTTGGAGCCTGGTGCTAAGCCTCCCTCCAAATCACCTTATAGGATGTCGCCACCCGAGTTGGAGGAATTGAGGAAGCAACTCAACGAGCTGCTTGATGCTGGCTACATCCAACCTTCCAAATCCCCATATGGTGCACCCGTCTTGTTCCAACGCAAGAAAGAAGGTAGCCTAAGGTTGTGCATCGACTATAGAGCATTGAACAAGATTACCATCAAGAACAAGTACCCACTTCCGTTGATCGCCGACTTATTCGATCAACTTGGTGAAGCAAGGTACTTCACAAAGTTAGATCTTCGATCGGGATACTACCAAGTGAGGATAGCCCCTGGAGACGAATCGAAGACGGTGATGGTGACCAGATATGGAGCGTTCGAGTATAAAGTCATGCCATTTGGTCTAACCAATGCCCCCGCAACATTCTGCACATTGATGAATAAGGTATTCCATCCTTATCTTGACAAGTTTGTCGTGGTTTACATTGATGATATATCGTTGTCTATAGCAAGACATTGGAGGAGCACGTCAAGCACTTGCGCATAGTGTTCAAGACCCTTCGGGAGCATGAACTCTATGTCAAGAAGGAGAAATGCTCCTTTGCCACAAAAGAAGTAGAATTTCTTGGCCACAAGATAAAGGAGGGGAAACTTATGATGGAAAAGGGCAAGATCAAGGCCATTCAAGAGTGGGAACCGCCGACCAAGGTACCAACACTACGATCCTTTCTGGGGCTAGCCAACTACTATCGGAGATTCATAAAAGGGTATTCAGCCATAGCAGCACCCTTAACAGACCTTCTTAAGAAGAACAAGGCATGGGAATGGACGGACCGGTGTCAAGAGGCCTTTGAGAGGTTGAAGAATGCCCTAATGGAGGAGCCTGTACTAAGGTTGCCCGACCTTAGTAAGCCATTCGAGTTGCACACTGATGCTTCCGACTTTGCCATAGGAGGAGTGTTGATGCAAGAGGGACATCCAATAGCCTATGAAAGTCGCAAGCTAAACAATGCCGAGAAAAGGTACACGACCCATGAAAAGGAGATGACCGCCATCGTCCATTGCCTTAGAGTTTGGAGGCATTACTTGCTTGGTACCCCATTCATCATCAAGACGAACAACGTTGCCACTAGCTACTTTCAAACCCAACAAAAGCTCACACCTAAGAAAGCAAGGTGGCAAGAGTTCTTAGCGGAGTTTGATTACAAGCTAGAGTACAAGCAAGGAAAGGAGAACGTGGTGGCCGATGCTCTAAGTAGACGAGTAGAGTTAATGGCTACGGTACTCAAGCCGCAAAGCCATCTCTTGGGCCGTGTCCGAGAAGGTTTATCACATGACGTCCAAGCCAAGAACATTGTGGAGTTTGTCAAGGATGGGAAGACAAGAAGGTTTCGGCTTGAGGACGGCTTGTTATACACCAAGGGCAAGCGGATCTACATCCCAAAGTGGGGAAGCTTAAGGAAAGAAATCCTTAAGGAGTGCCATGACTCAATGTGGGCAGGACATCCTGGCACTCACCGCACGTTGGCTTTGGTGAGCGATGCTTATTATTGGCCACAAATGCGGGATGATGTAGATTCATACGTGAAGACTTGTCTTGTATGCCAACAAGACAAAGTGGAACAAAGGCAACCGGGAGGACTGTTGGAACCACTTCCCACCCCATCAAGACCATGGGAGTGTTTGACCATGGATTTCATCACACATTTGCCCAAGTCTGATGGATGTGGATCTATCTTCGTCGTGGTCGATAGATTCACCAAGTATGCCACTTTCATACCCGCACCCGTGGAGTGTACAGCCGAAGTAGCTGCACGTTTGTTTCTAAAGCACGTGGTGAAGTATTGGGGTGTTCCGAGGAGCATAGTCAGCGATCGAGATGCTCGCTTCACAGGTAGATTTTGGAAGGAGCTCTTCAAGCTACTTGGCTCAAAGTTAGACTTCTCCACAGCTTTTCATCCCCAAACTGATGGACAAACGGAGCGGGTTAATGCATTGTTGGAGACTTATTTGCGGCACTATGTTAGTGCCAATCAACGAGATTGGGCTAAGTTACTTGATATTGCCCAATTCTCTTATAACTTGCAACGTTCGGAGTCGACGGGGAAAAGTCCGTTCGAGTTGGCTATAGGGCAACAACCCTTGACCCCGAACACGGTCGTGACTGGCTACACGGGGAATAGTCCAGCCGCTTTCAAAACTGCTAAGGAGTGGCAATTAGCCCACGAACTTGCTCGAGCTCATTTGGAGAAGGCTTCAAAGAAGATGAAGAAATGGGCAGATCGCAAGCGAAGGAATGTGGAGTTCCAAACTGGCGACCAAGTCTTTGTGAAGCTCAATGCGTCTCAGCACAAGAGTACTCGTGGCTTGCATAAGAGCTTGTTGCGGAAATATGAGGGACCATTCCCTATCATCAAGAAGGTTGGCAAAGCCGCGTATGTTGTGGAACTCCCACCCCACCTCAAGTTTCACCCGGTGTTCCATGTAAGCAACTTGAAGCCTTATCATGCAGACAATGAGGAACCAAGTCGAGGTGAGTCTCATCGAGCACCCCCTTTGATGACGGAGGCATTTGACAAAGAAGTGGAGAGCATTGAAGCCAAGCGTGTCGTGGTGCGACCAAGACAACCAAAGCATGTGGAGTACTTTGTCAAATGGAAGGGGCTACCATACTCCGAAGCAACATGGGAGAAGGAGACGTCCTTATGGCAATATAATGACTTGATTCAGACATTCGAGAGGCAAGAGTCGACGAGGACGTCGACGGCTTAAGTGGGGGAGGATGTCACGGGCCGCATGTTAAAAACAAAGAAAATGCCCAAGACATCATATATCTAAGCCCATGAAGCCATGTCTTCATGGAAGCTTCTGGAACGTCCCGGAGAAATCAAGAACGTGGCGGAGCATTCAAGATAATCTAGGGCATTCCGGAACATTCCACACAAGTGTACATATTTAAGCCTCACCTAGAATAATCTAGATTAGGCAAGTTGTATCTAGAACTATGCTAGATATTTTTGGATGTAAGTAGGGGATTCTAGAACCCTCCATTGAGGAGGTGACTTAGGCCTATAAATAGGAGGTAAGGCCATTTGGCCAAACCATCCAAGAGTTGTAAGCAATTGTAAAGTTCTCTTAAGTTTCAATACAAAGCTTCCTTTCTCCCATCTTCTAAGTGATCTTAGCATTCTCCAAGCTATCTTAGCTTTCTTTGTGATTCGATCCGGGGAAGCGAGGCTTCAAAGGCTTACTTAGCTTGTTCATCGAGGTATTCAAGTCTAAGTGCCGCACGGGCGGAAGGCTTAAAGAGTCATCCCGTGACACTAGGAAGGTCAAAGCATGTTGGCCGTCACCAAGAGATGACGTAACCATAAGGGTAAATGATGTGAAAAAGTGAATAAATTAAAACTAAACTAGAACTAATTAAAATTAAACTATGAAGGAGTGCGCAGTCGTGGGAATTTCTGCACGCGAGATCTTAGTTCAAACGATACACAAAATGCGTAAGTCGTTGGAGTTCAAAGCATCAACAAGATAGCAAACAGTAAAAATATATTGGTGAAGATTATTGATGACCTCAGAATTTTATTGTACAACAATGGTGAAGTATCAATTTCATTGTTATGAAGAATGTATAACTAAATCAACACTAGAAGCAGTGGCTATCAGCTTGTCATCACTGGCAGAAGCACTTTTGTACATGTGCAGAAAAGTGCTTGCAGCGGTAGACGCTTTCAATCTTTAGCCTTTCTTCCTTCTGCCTGAAGAGTGCTTGTCTATACTCGCTATCCAAAAAAATTAGCCCGCTAATCAATCCGTTGAAGATTGAACATCACCATATCCTCCAGCGCTAACCGAAAAGCAGTCTTGGGAAGACACTCGAGATTTTGTATTGCAAGATGAGCTTTCTCTTTCGCTAATTCTTGTGCTTGTTCAATCCCCCCACAAGCCTTAACCAATGCAATGGCTTCGTCGAGGGAACCAGTCTCGCTGAATTCTGATTCAATTATGTCTCTTAGTTTTGGTTCTTTCTTCAAAGCAAATATAACCGGGGCTGTCAGGTTTCCTTTGGCAAGGTCAGTTCCAGCAGGCTTCCCCAGCTGCTCCGCCGACTGTGTGAAATCCAATATGTCATCAACAACTTGGAAGGACAGCCCAAGATTCTTGCCATAGTCGTACATTTTCTCCATTACATAGTTGTCAACCCCACTAAAAATGGCAGCTCCTTTGGTACTTGCAGCGATTAAGGAGGCTGTTTTGTAGTAGCTCTTAAGCAAGTACTCCTCAAGTTCGACGTCACAATCAAACAAGCTAGATGCCTGCTTTATTTCACCACTTGCAAAATCTTTGATAACCTGCCATAGCGCTAACAGAATTACGTCTAAATTAAAGGTTGCAACTTGCAAGTATGTAAAAGAATGCAACCTCTTTCTAATTTTTTGGTTCTTCAACTTTTGAGTTTGAAAGTGTCTTTTAGAAAGAAGATTCGATTCATGATGGCTTCGAGAGTATAAATATGACACAACTTACCTGGCTGATGAGCTTGATGACCTGAATGTTTTCTAGATTTGCAAGATACCATGATGACTGTGCAAACATGAAGTCCCCAGCAAGCACTGCCACTCTTGTACCGAACATTTGATGAACAGTTTCCTTCCCTGCAAATTGGGTTCAAATTCAATGGAATCAGATTGAAAGGGGACAGAAAATAAAACAAAGAAATGAAACAATAATAATAAATTTGGGTAACGTGGTAATCGCTTAGTATTAGTCTATTAGAGAACACTGCCGCTCAATGTAACACAACTTACTGGCAATGCTTTCTAGATAATCTCTGCCCTCAGCCAATGCATACATTTCAAGCATTTATAACAACGAGGAATGTCAGGTCTAGATTTAACGTCCATTCCGTTTTCTGATAATGTTATCAAGTTCATTCAGACTACATATACTTAAAGGACATATACTGTAGTAGCTGAAATTTGGGCCAAAAATTAGGAAGGTGATATATTTTGACACAGAGACATCTCTATAATTTTACACGTGACATGCATAAGAAGATAATAATGGCTACCTCGTCGCATGTCACTTTCATCCAAAACATCATCATGTATCAAGCTTGCTGTATGGATCATTTCGATGATCTCTGCCAATCGCCGATGCTCTTTGGTAAGTTCCCTGAACATGGAAGTTTAGAGAGAAGTTATAATCTGTTAACCTCATACAATACAGCGGTTTAAGAACATTGAATGAAACTCACTTCAATCCAACTAGTTCTGCTGTTGCTCTGGACACTAGAAACACCAATGCGGGTCTCATCCTCTTCCCACCGGCACCAAAGATCTGCTCAGCAGCTGACATTAAGACGGGGTTTTCTGCACCAACAATCTAAAACAGCATATTATCACAAAGTATCCTTTTTCTCTTCAAGTAGGTATAACAGAAAATAAGGGCCTGTAACTAGTCCCCCTGACACTATGTACAGTAATCTAATTTTCCATAAATCATCAAGCACGTAATTTTTTTATCGTACAGTAACACTTAACCAGAAGGAGTAATGAGATGAAATATGCATTAGCATGGTTGATTTTCCTAACACTTGCCAAGTAAACTATAATTATTATATTAGCAAATCGTATAAAGCTATATGATATTAAAAATAACGTCCATAACTTTAAACCTGGTCAGTCTACCTCAACAAAAATCTAGTCGACAAACATTTTTGGTACGACAAGGGTGCCATAACTCGACAGTGAGAGAAAGAAATAAGTTGACATTTCTAGCAAAGGATGATTGATAAGAATTTTTCACAGTACAGCAAGTTCAAGATTGGAAAAGTGTTCCAAGAATGCAGGTCACTCAAACTAACGAATATAACACCATCATGCCAGACTGCCACATAAATTTCTTCCTTTGCAATCGACAACATTTGGAATGAAGGAAAGGATGATAATTTCAAAAAGACAGAGAAAATTTGTAGATGGGATAAGGTAAACAAGAAAGAACAGGGTAAAGAATTATGTTGCCTACCCCAACAGTTGGAGTAAGGCCTTCTGACCTCTGCCATTGGACATGTATGCTCAACTATAACTGATAAGTGATCAAATGGATAACAGCCATATCTACATAGAACGGGAAGACATGGACAAAATAAGTGAACAAGGATGCTATTCATTCGTAAGGCCAAACAATAAATGGGAAAGGCAAAATAACGTACAAACAAGCATAACACTTCCACTTATCAGTACATTTATCATAACGATTCCAGCTTTAACAAGGTCCTATCGATCTTTAAAAGAGCTATCTGTATTGATGTCAAAACAACCAAAAGGTTCCAAATTGCCAGCTTCTAAACTAAGCACATCGCCACACCAGAAAACACATCCACACACGTATTCTCGTTTGTCAGTGCAGTACTGATTTTCACATCGAAGCATTGCAAACTTTATTTTCAAAAGGGCTTAACGGGAAAACATAGTAACTGATAGAATCTCATCAAGCAGAAAATGATTGTTTAAAACTAAGCTCAGCTAGGCCCCGGCACGAACAAATGATTAGATACTGTAACAACATTCTACACCATAAACTTCCTAATAACTAAAATTATCACACAGCACCAGGAAATCCAAAAGGAGTACTTACAGACTGAAGATTTTGATTTAATGTGAGGAGGTCATCAGCAACAATTTCAAACAAATTTGTCAGCGAAACCGGCTTTCTGGATTCTTTCTTTAAATTTAAAACCTGTGGAAGACCTTCAGGCGCACCTGTAATTCAAGCATTTGATAGAAATAACTCATATGGTATTCAAATAAATTCTAGTAATTAAAAGCTCAAACTTGAAACAAAAAGTTCTGTTGTCTTACCATTCAGCAGAGCATTATCTGCCTTCTTTGGTATTGGAGTCTCAGCTGTTGTCATTGAAGAAACTCCACACCGAATTCGATTCCGACGAGCTCCATAACCTCTACAACTGCCCTTGGGATTCGCCTTCGAGTAATTCCTCACCGAATAACGGTCCAACAAAGCATTGGAAGAACACCCACAAGCCACAAAATCCATCACAGCTCTCGCATCAAGAGTGTGGCATGTCATTGACATCATTCTAACCAAAACCCAGAAGCCAAAATCACCAAAGCTCAATAACCCAGAAACAAAATCACCAAAGCTCAAAAACGCAGAATGGAAAATCACCAAAATTTTCTCAGAAACCAAACACCAGCAAGAAAATAGTCATTAAAACAGCTGTGGGTAATGAAGAAAACTCTGTAAAAACAATCAAATGGGGCCACTGGGAATGGAAAGCTTCCGTTTTAACATGAGGCACAAGTTGGAATAGCAATTGAGTGGATCCAAGAAGCCCACGCATACGTATAAATATATAGAGAGACAGAGAGAGTTCTCTTTGCACCTCCTTATCAGTTGGGAGAGAGTGAGAAAGATGAGTGACCCTAAGAAAAAGAGTTGGCCTTTGTGTCCTCGCAATTTTTCAAGTTTGTTGGTGAAATAAGAGCCAGAAAACCAATTTCCCTCTAAACGACTGGCGGTAATGGATAATGGATATTACACCTATCAAAGAATTTCTCTTGTGAATGTTGCCTGATTTTTTATTTTTTTTTCTCTTTAGCAATTATTATATTACACTATTACACAAATATTAACTAAAATAATTGTTCTTTTGTGCATATGTAGATACGGTTTAGGTCAGTTGCGTAGTGTATTATACTTATCTGATAGTATCAAAGTTTGAATTCTCGTATTCGTATGTTAGAGCAATTTAGAATAGGTAGTAAATTTATGCTCGTTAGGTCAGTTACATAGATTAATGTACTTGTCTGCTAATAACAATCATTAATTATCGTCTTGTCAAATAAAATATATAGTAAATTTACCGAGTTATCTTATATTTATCCGGCCTCGTATAAGATCCAATGAGAGGTCCAAAGAGACCACATGGCATAATACGGGAAAAAATATATCATGTAATCCACTTAGCAATCACATTAACATGATAGTTGTGCAAATATCGTTTCTTAGGAAAGAGGACATTGAGGCCCGAAAATAAAAGAAACATAGTTGTGCAAGTATCATTTTATTACACGTTTTATATGTAAAATAATTAATACAGTAATGTGCAAAGTTCAACGGCTGAATATTCACTTTTGTATTCAATAACAAAAAGAAAACAATAGCGAGCTAATTAGAGGTTTTAGAATGATAACAATACCTTTATACTTGCTTTTGGGTCGAATAAGAACACCCAAAGGTAAATAGATAATAATATATATATATATATATAAGTGCTCAAGTGTAAACTAGTTACAGAGAGCTTAAGGGGAGGGATCCCCATTTTTTTTTTAAAATGGAGATTAGGTGTGGGGTCCACTTCACATCTAATTTCAACGATCCGAACCGTCTATTTTGTTAGTCTTGATTCATAGATCATCCTTAGAAAATATTAGCTAAATTGGAAATGTTTAAGACATCTAATTGGTTCAAGGAAATGAACGAATACTTTGTTATATAAAAAAATATGAAATTTGATATTGATAATTAAATAGGCAAATGGTTTCGGATTGAATTGAATTTTTGCAAGGATGATTTATGAATCGAGACTAACAAAATAGACGGTTCGGATCGTTGAAATTAGATGTGAAGTGGGCCCCACACCTAATCCCCATTTTTTTCAAAAAATGGGGATCCCTCCCCTTAAGCTCTCTGAACTAGTTAATAACTTAATAAGGTGTAGAAATGCTAAGGAGACTCTCTCAAAAGTGAGATTTTTTGTAGAGTCTCTGCCACCTTATGTTTTTTGAAAAATGTTTTGTAATGTTGGCACCGAAATTGACGTTAAAATGTGAGGTATCAGAGAATCAATGGAGAATCCTACTTTGAGAGAGTCTCCTTAGAATTTTTCAAGGTTCTAATTACTCATTTGGGTTTACTTCACAAAGTAATCTCATGATCTAAACAGTCTATTTTTTAAGTCATTATTGGCGCAAACAATCGTTTAGACCTTTAATTATTATTGTGAATTTTTCATTGAACTAACTTCTAATTTTAATAAATTTTTGTAAAGATGATCTTTCGATGATAAATTAAAAACAATAATCATTTTAAATTACAAGAAATATCATGAGCTGAATTGAAATTAACGGCTTACGTCGTATTAAGTTATTAACTAGTTACCGCTTAAGCCAACAAAAAGCAAGACAGGAAATTAATGGACCGCATCTTTTCCTGTACTGACATCAGCTCACTTGATGCACATTTCATGGTCTTGTTTTCAATCAAAAAATTAGGTGTGAGTCTTTATTGATTGGTTGGAAGGAAATTGTGAGTCCTTATTTATCTACTGCAGTCCGTGATGTCTTTCAGCTACTATTTTAATAAATGAATCATAAGTTTCAACAACTAAATGTGGCAGAGGAAGGTAGCATCAAATGGTTGTATAGGAATCATGTGTAATTTTTGTACTCACTACCTATTAAAGTTGCATTTGTTTGATTTTATAAGATCAAATTTCGGTCCTTTATGTGGTTATTCCTACAGTATTTATATAGAAGTTTCACTTTCATCTGTGCAGTTATGCTTTGCATAGAATAGATCGACCTAGTTCTCGTTTCTTGTTTTGATGCACTTGTTTTATATATTGACACAAGGAAGGACGCGATGGGAAGGAACCAACCCCAGCCTCTATTGGGCCGATCATTCCGCTGGCATCTTGCATATGTAAATTTGAAATTTTGCGAGACATTTGTTTACTAATTGTTGTAATACAAAGATAATAGAGAAAATTGTAGAAATTGTCTTTCAACTTTAATCTAATTGAAGCAATAATCCCTCGTTAATCTCTTAACTTATCAAAACGTGTAGTTATGGTCTTTTAAGTCAACTTTTTTCAGAACTTCCGTCAAAATGAATCGTGTTGGAAGAATCATTACTACAATTGGATTAAAGTTGAGGGCTGCTATTACTCCAATTGACTTAAAGTTTCTCATTTGGTTTTCCTTGTTTGCCCTTGATTTATCCTCGCATGTGTGGCACGTCACTCATTTTGACTAAAGTTCTAACGGATTTGATAAAAATGACCATAGTTGCATGTTTTGATGAGTTAAGGGACAAATGGTCATGATTTTTTAGTCGAGAGATCAGTGCTCCAATTGAATTAAAGTCAATGAACTATTGTTACAATTTTCTCAAGATATAACATGCAAGTTTCTTCACAGGAACTAGCACGTTTGAGACGCTTATAAGGTGTTTCACATACGTACAATTCCAATTTATTTTCACATCCTCATTCATGTACTAATTTGTCATATAAATTGAGTTTAATCCATATATTTGTTCTTGAATCGCAACAATTACTTAACTACAAATCTAAAGTCTTATTAAAAATCTATCCATTTGAGGTAATGTGAAAATTTGACATCCCCGGTAGCACATTAAAAGCTAAAATTCTAACGATCCCATGCACTTTCTTTTACTGAGGACTATGCATAGATGCAGTCACCATAACCTGCAAATCAATACAAAAATAAATAAATAAATAAATAAAATACCACACAAATTAAATGAGTGACTTTCTTCATGAAAAAAAATGTTACTTACTTGGATCAGTCACGACAATGAGAGCAGAGCCTCTAAAGTCACAATTCCACTGGTTCTTTCCCTTGGATTGGTAATACATGTTCATGGCTATGGAGGCACGGTTCATGAGATTATCCGGCGACGAGCACGGGCATCCCTTTCGAAGAATCTGGCAATCTACGTGCGCGCACGCGTAATTCAGATTCGATAAGAGCGTTGCTTGGTCGGACGAAGGTCTGGCCACACACCAAGTTTTCTGCATTTGAGTAACAGAACGAGAAAAGTATCAGTTTAAAGTGCGTTGTTGTAGGTTTGTATTTGAAGTTACATGTTTCATTTTTTTAGTAACTTTTGATATATTAATTACCTGTCCATTTACCATGAGCAAAGTTTCTGCAAAGACAACAGTAAATTTGAAATTAGAGGTTCAGAACTGAGATAAGTACAGTGCATATAAGTTAATGCCAGTCAGTATAACTTATTTGTCCAAAAAAAAAAAGGACATCACAACTTAAAATGTCAGTTGTAAAGTGTTAATTAAGCAATAACTCGCATGAAATTTAGCACAATGCTATAATCCAAGTGCAAGAAAACCCAAAATGATAAAAAATATAGCGCTCTAAACTCCAAAGTACATAAAGTTTTCGCTGCTACATCCTAGTTATTGTATCTTTAACGAAATCTAACTCAGTTTTTCACAAGAAGTACCTGAAGTGAAGGACAAGAGCAGGAGCAGGAGCAGAACAGAGAGAGCTGCTTTAGCCATTGAGAGCTGTCAGAGAGAAGAAAGAAGAAAGTTGAAATATTTTGTCTGCTGAGGGTGGAATGGAATTAGAGAGAGAATGGTAGGATTTTTAAAGTGGGAGAAAGGGGCAAAGTGTAACGGCTATATTAAGTGAGCCGTTTGAGAATTCTATTGGAAAGTTGGAAAGATTGGAGCTTTTGAGAACAACATCCACGTGGAGGGAGGGAGCCTGACTGACTTTGCGTCTCCCTTACATCATCAGCCACCTCCGATTCAACTTCTAGTTATCGGAGTCAGTGCCCAACTGACTGCTCGCTTCACATTCCGATGATTCATATTTTTTTTAAGGAAACATTTTTGTTCATCATCATTTAACGTGATATATGTTCATCATCCTATTTATCATTATTAGATGAATTTGAATTTCGAGATTCGTGTAATAAATAAGTACAAATCGGTGATAAATAAGATGGTAAGCATATACCATACTAAATGATGATAAGCAAAAATGCACTCTTATTTTAATACTATTAATGGGGGAGTTTCTCTAACCTATATCGGTTATGTTTGTAGGATTGAAGTGAAATCCATGTTAATTGGTCAAATTTACAATCCTAACTTTTGAGTTACAGTGACTTTCTTGGCAGCTTTAGTGTATCGAGTACTTCAGATATTTTAATCGTTAAATTTTTATTTAAAAATACAAAAATTAAGATTTAATTTGTTTTGTTAGTTGTGTAACCAATAAATTAAGGCTCGACGTTCATCATGATCTCTAATTCTAATAAAACAATGATATATGTAAGTTTCTAACGTATGACATTATATTATTAGATCGAGACCTCACGTGACTATGAATTTGTTCCATATCTACAGTTTGGATGGAAAACAGGTTTTCCAGAAACCAAAAATTGAAAGCATGTTTGAAGCTCAAGCAATTTGCAGTCCCAAATGGCTCCAATTTCCCACTCCCACCAGGAACTGCATTCCCAAACCCAGAATTGGATTCCCGACTGGAATTTCAAACCCAAATGTTCTCATTTGCCAAAACCCCATTCACTTCCCCCCTCACAAGAACATCAAATCTCAGACCCCTTTTGCAGTAAATGCTTCCTCAACTTCAGGTGAATAATTCCCACTTAGCTTCCTCATTTCTTGTTTCAATTATCTGCAGGATTTAATTTTAATTTCTTCTGAGTGAAGTGAAAAAAGTTTTGCTATGTTAATGTTCATTTGAAATTTCAGTTGCCATGGTAAATTATCTGCGGAGAAATTTACTTTCTTTCTGTTAAAATCCCAATTGGGCTTTGGGGTGTTACCCCAGCAGTAACTTAGAACAAGAAATGTATCTAGAATTGTTCATCAGGCGAATGGTGCGACTGCAGAAAGCAAGCTCTGGTAAAATCTTGCAAATGTATGTGGTCGAGTTTTTTGATATGATTAATGTTGTTGAATTGAGGTGGAGGAGAAGAAAGCAATCAAATTTCTGGTCAGAGAGTGAGTATATTTCCAAAAGTCGGTGACTTTAGTCAATTATGTGGTTGTATTGCTTAAAATGAAACAAAAATACTTGGTGAAGTTGTAGAATTTGATACTGGTCTCAGAAGTTTGAAAACATGGAGACAATCTGATAAAGATTGAACCTTAAAGAAACATTGAACTCCAGTTGTAAGAATGTGAAAGAATGCTACTAGACTTGAGAGCGGTTTCACTTTCTGAAATTCCTAATGGCCAGGTCTTATGTTGGGGTATAGAACATAGAACACAGTTTTCATCATCAGGGTGATTAATCTGATGTGTTATCGTTTTTCGTTGAAGACTGAGAAGATAGAACACAATTTTCATCATCACCATGAAACAGATCTAGCTGGTTCAATATAAAATCTGTTATCAGTGGTATCGTAATCACGAGAATGCATTCAGTTTTTGTGTTCAAGATTTACTATGCTGTTCCATTTCAATCACTCATTATATTCTCCTTTGATTGCATTCATAACAAAACCTGATGTACTTTTCTATATAAACAAAGCTGCAGTTGGAAATGCAGAATTATAGAGGAACCTGCCACCAAAGAGAAATTTCAAACATCTTTGAGTTTACCGGGCTGTTCGAGTTCATTGACGTTGCTTGGAACTGGTCAGTTGCTTCAAATCACATATAGCAAAGTGCATTCACTCTAAGAATATAAAGATTTCTCTGTGTTTCCTTTTGAGTTTTGATACAAATAATTGCATGATGCATGTAGCAAATAACCTTAATGTTGGCAATGGTTATAGGATACAGGGAAAAGGTCTTTGCAATTATTGGCGTAGAAGTCTATGCTGCAGGACTATATGTGAACCAGTCCGTCTTAAATAGTTTGAATGCTTGGAAAGGAAGATCAGCTGCTGAGATTCAAGAGGATTCATCCTTGTTCAACTCTATTTTTCTATGTAATAATCATAAAAATTATGCATCTTCCTTGCCACACACACTCGCACATAAAGAGGATGCTAACGTTACTTTTCCTAATTGCAGCTCCTTCGGAGAAATCGATACAGATTGTTCTGGTTAGAGATGTTGATGGGAAAACTTTTTGGGACGCCTTGAATGATGCCATCTCTCCAAGAATCAAATCACCAACCCCTGTTGATGAATCCGCACTGTCCACATTCCGTAGCATCTTTCAAGGGCAACCTCTTAAGAAAGGAACTTTCATATTTTTGACTTGGCCAGACCCTTCCAAAATGCTTGTAAGTTCGAATTTACTGGTTTCTTATGCAAGCTAACTAGGGCAGGCTTTTGGGAGTTCTATGTTTCCCTGAATTATTTCTCTCGGACTTCCTCTAACACGCATTCTGATGCTAGTTTGTGTTTGCAAATCTAAACCAACATAGTTATGTTATGCTTCTTCAATGTGAATTTTTTCTGTCCATGCAATCTTATCAAATGAGATTTATTGTGATATTTAGGTCTCTATCTCGTCTGATGGGCTTCCGTCTGGAGTGGATGCTGAAATTAAATCAGAAAATGTGGCTTTTGCTCTTTTTGATGTATTCGTTGGAGATACTCCTGTTTCTTTCTCCTTGAAAGCTTCAGTTGTGAAAGGACTGGAATCAATCCTCAAGTAGATGCTACGAGTAAGCTTTTTCATTTTCTCTATTAGCCACTTGAGCCTGCCTTTTGTTTATGTATCTATTTGTGTACCTTGAATTGGACCAGGAAGTGGTATAAATTGAAAGAAAATATATTTCTTAACCATCTTATGGTGGCTATCTTGCCGATTACTCTCCGGTTAGAATACAATCTACAACACAAATAAAATAATGTTTACAGAACAGTAAGCCATAACAGATGTCTACTTGAATTGCTCATCATTTGTGTATATATGAGAGAAATGGCGGAAGAAAGATCCAGGTATGGACATTTCAGATATAAACAGGTGTACGAGTTTAAGTGTCTTTTACAAGTTTATTATTTTTTTATCTTCTCAAGCATCTTAACAACTTCACCATGGTAGGCCTCTTTGAAGGCCTGGGTTCAAGGAAAACTAGTGCAATACTAAGAACGATGCTAATCTTGCCGACTGAACAACAACCTAAGTTAGTATCAAGTACATACTCCTCCCTTCTGTCCTGAACAACCGCCTTCACCCGCAACATCATTAACCAATTGATTTGCAAGTTCTGTTTTGTTTAATGTTCTTCTTCTTGTATTAATGTTCATTCTTCCCCTGAAATTACCTTATGCACTATGCACATTTGATTGGCTGAAACAAACTTTCTTGCCAATCATCAAACCATGTATCTAATTCTAGTCTCTAACTAGTTGATAGACCTGCTCAGTGTTGAATTCTAGTATAGATTAACGAATGCTGATTTTAGGCCTAAAACACCGTCTAGGTAGGCAACATAATCAAACAAGAAGCTGCTAGCCTTCAAACCATAGGTGGCGGGGCAAGGCATGCCTTCCCGATTATCAGATTGCAAAGCTATTGAGAAACCATTGTAGGTCATTGTGATTGCAGTAGTGTAACTATCAATGTATATTCCGTAACAAAGGTTCAAACCAAATAAAACCATTAGTTGATTATGATGAGAAGGAAAGTTTGAGCCCCATTTAACGAAACTAGTGAAAATAATACCGATTTTGAATAGCAAGTGGTAGATTGTCCTAGTGATCAGGGCCTCCCTCTTCAACATAGGCATCGATAGCCATGAATTTGGAACTGATAGCGAGTGGTCGTAAATACAAACAGAAAGTTCAGCTAGAAGATATATATATATATATATCACTGATAATGGTTATTATAATCATGAATCCTAACCACTAAAATATGTAGTAACTAATAATTAAGAAAATATATAGTACACTTCAAAATAATCATACGGTAGGGTTGAAAAGCTGCAAGCAAGCCATAGTTCTTTGGCTGTAGAGCAATGGAAGACTTTTCTGAGTGCTGAAGGTGAGAGTTTAGCATTCATCACCGCCACCACTGCTTGATCCTTCCTGCACCATAGCTCATAGCCCAGATTAACCAGCTCTGCTGTCGTTGAATCTTGGACGATGAATGTGTCTGGACATCTGAGTGAGCCATCGATGTAGCCAGTAAGATCGTAAACTCTCAGTATGGGGACAAACAGATACCTCTAGATAATATAGTTGGTGCCCTCCAGCTTCATAGGCATAAGATAGTGTATATTCGGAGCAGATCAAAAATAGGACGACGCTTCACAGATAAGCAGCAGCAGGAGTAGTGGGTTGACGATGTTGAAGAAGAATTAAGAGGAGTCGCCATTGAAACTGGAAGGGAATTAAATGTATATGTGCTTACAGAAAGCGTTTAAAATGATTTTCAAACCTTATAGGAATTTAATTTAATTTTTGTTTTCATAAGAAAGCTCTAGGTACGAACATTTTAGGTATAAACAGGTGTACAAATTTATGTGTCTTTTACAAGTTTGTTATTTTTTATTTTTGATCTGCTCAAGCATCTTGACAACCTCATCCATGGTAGGCCTCTTTGAAGGCTCCGGTTCGAGGCAGATTAATGCAATACTAAAAACAGTGTTAATCTCATCGATCGAACAGCAGCCTAAGTTACTGTCAAGTACATACTCCTCCCTTCTGTCTTGAACAACTGCCTTCACCTGCGAACATCATTAACCGATTGATTTGCAGGTAGGTTTAGTCACTGATCAACAATGGCAGTAATTTTATGGCAATTCAAGTAAGAACATGGAGGATTCAGTAAAATAAGGGTTGCTATTGCTTATTGAAGTGTTGAGTTCATAACTTACCCATGTCACAAGCTTTGTTCCCTCCTCAATGAATGCTTCATCCGTAGGTTTCTTTCCGGTTAGAAGCTCTAGTAAAACCACTCCAAAACTGTAAACATCGCCTTTCACTGTTGCTCTTCCCGTATCAAAATATTCTGCAGAAAAATGGTCTGTCTTACATCAATACACAAGAAAGTAACTGAGCAGTATGCTACTGACAATATTATTGTAAATTCAAGGGTGAACTTCAACTGTACCAGGAGCTAAGTATCCGAAAGTTCCAGCTACAAGTGTCGAAACATGAGTCTTATCCGGTTCCATCAAGGTGGCCAATCCGAAATCAGACACTCGAGCCTCCATGTTTTGATCCAACAAGATGTTGCTTGATTTGATATCTCTGTGGATTATGTGAGGGATGCAATCGTGATGAAGGTACGATATTCCTCTTGCTGCACCTAGTGCTATTTTGTATCTGGTAGGCCAATCCAAAAGCATCTTGTCCGTTGATCTTCCTGCATCGTAATTTACCAGATGATCACCATAGACAAATGGAAATTTTGCATTTTTGTAAAATTTGAGTGCATATGTGCATACCATGCAGGACTGCATCCAAACTTCCATTAGGCACCAGTTCATATATGAGAAGATTATAGTTTGGAGCAGTGTAATATCCATGAAGGGTGACGATGTTGCGGTGTTTTATGTCCCCCATTGCTTCGAGCTCTCTCTCGAAGCCTCGATCTCTCTCTGGACTTCCTCTGCTCAATCTTTTCACAGCAAAGGCTGTGGAGTCATTTACTGTCAGCTTATAAACCGTCCCGTAGCCTCCGGAACCAATGATGTCCTTGTTGCTCAACTTCAGTGTCTTCTTCAAGAACACATCCGTTTTCAGAGGTTTCATTGTTGGTGCCCTGAACAAAACCATTCTCCCACCTGTATACATGCACATTACAATACATCAATCAGGATATATAGTTTATTGCTACGAATTTCATCGAAGATTACACGGAAAATGCGTCATTTTGAGCATCGTGGATGAGGGTGTCATAAAAGATACCCTCTAAGACGCGTAAAACCGAGTGTTTTCATGGAGTTTTCGAGCATACCAGAGAAGCCATCTTCATGGACCAAGTGCTTCTTCTTCCAGCGCTTATAGATGAGGACTGAAATAACAATCTTTGATATAATAAAAGCAACACAGCATATGGTTATGTAGAACGCTAAAACCAAAGCCTTTCCCATATTTTGTTCTCTGCGAATTTGATTCACAAAGAACTACACCAAGGAAATAATTTGAAGTAATGGTTAAGTAGAAGTTGGCTTTATCTGAGAAACTGTTCACAGAAACAAAGTGCTGTTGGATCATTGAAATTTTGACACAACAAGTGTTTTTATTAGGGAAAGCGACCAAAGTGCTTTTCGTCTCTCTAATGCATTCACACTTTACTAGTTTGGGGCTGCGAGTAAACAGAAGAATTTTCCTCTAACAGGATGTCATTTTGATGATACTTTACGTTAATCATGCACTGGTAATACTGTTAATAATGTGCGCAAGGGCACTTTGTATTCACATTTTACTAGTTTGAGATTCTGCATCAAGAGTAGAACTTCCGTACAACTGAAATGTCACTGTGACGAATCTCAAATTAATCATACACTATTATGTGAGAAAATTAAAATGCATGGCCATCTTGAATCAATAGTAGAACTTTCGTACAACTAAAATGCTGTTATAACGGTATCTCAAATTAATCATATATTGTTACATGAGAAAGTTAAAATGCATGACAATCATGATTGACTTAACCTATGGCAAAAGTAGAGTGATTACTTAGACATAAATCAATTAAATTGAAGTAGATGAGGACATAAAAAGGGTGGCATGACAGCAAAGTCACCAGCAACCAAAAACCCATGAGAAAGGTGCAGCTGAATGTCAGGTAGTGTGTGCATGCATCATGTGAAATTCAAGCTGATGTGACAAATTATTCCACTCCACCTGTCCTTTGCCATTTACGTCGGTGTTCAAAATTCACAGGACTAACACAGTACAACCCTTTTTGGGAAAATAAACACAGCTGTGAAGTGTGACCTGTGAAGGTCATTAGCTCGATTGATTTCATCATGCATGGTCATGAACTCATATCTCAAGGGTAGGACATACTTTTAGTGTGACGAAAATAAAGAACGGTTCACTAGAAAAACATCTTATAATTAGTTGGGAATTTTGTTTTTCTTAAGTTTTTAACCAATTGTATCATAATATTTGATGTACCGGATCATGTTCTCGACTGACTGAAATTTTTCTTTAAAAGTGAGGAGTCATAAATTTGAGGTAGTGTGACTGTCACGTCAAAAAAATTGTTTACTAATTCGATGAATGCATTGTAGGAACCATCTTTAATGAAAGTAGCAACATAATTAGCAAATTGAAAATGTTAACAACTTGCTCTTCAAATTAAAAATGCGACTTGCGTTTTTGAATTCGCCCATATCCAACACAACTTTAAACATGATCCCGCAGGTTATTTCATGGTTAAAATTCACCCGAATCAATTCGACTTCAACTCGATTGTTTATTGAGTTGTTTTTCCCTCTCATGCCCAACCCAACCTAAGTCAATTTCTAACCCAAATTAATACAAGCACTTATTACATCCAACCCCCTATAGACCAACATTTAATAGGATTGCTGATTGAACTTCAGATTACAAGACTTAAGTTTGTTGCTTGTTTTCATCTGGAAATGAAGTATTGTTTTTTATATTTTTCTACACACTTTGTTATTGTTTCGTCATTTAAATCAAATTTTACATAAAAACTTCACTATTTGATTTAACTTTTAAGTGGATACCCATTTTTGAATGAATAAACTCAACTCGACGAATAATGAGTGAGCCTGCATGTTCATTATATACTGTCACATTAGATGATTATGTTACAAGTGAGAGTCATCTCAAATATCAAATAATTACATGTGATATGATAGAAGATAATATTAACTAGAAGTCTCTATCTGCTGGAGAGTTTTGAGATGAATCGATGTGTTCGCTTGTGAAGAAGAGCGAGAAGAAGGAAATTCAAACTGGTTCGGTTTTGACTTATCAGTTGGCTTATCACGGCCCTGCGAGCTGAGTGATCGTTAGAGAACGGAAAGCTTGGAAACCGGGTTGGTAAATGGTGAAGAGGATAAACCTTTGGTCAAAAGATCAACAAGCTGATTAGCTGAAGCAACACAGTCAACAACAATCTTCTTGCGAGTGACATTAATGTAATGATAATCCACTTCGACATGGCGCGTGCGTGCTTGATAGACAGGATTAGAAGCAAAAGCAAGAGCACTGATATTATCATAGCACAAAAGTGGAGGATCAAGAGAGAGGTGTAGATCTCGGAAAAGGTTTTGAAACCAAGAGAAGCAATTGAAGTATATGCAAGTTGGAAGAAAAAGAAAAGAAAAAAAGTATATGCAAGTTGACGATATTCCGCTTCGAGACACACCCACTGTTTCTTGGAGCTCCATGAGATTAAATTATCTCCAAGAAAGATGCAGTAACCACCAGTGGAGTTCCAGTCATCAGGATCACCAGCTTAATTTGCGTTGACACACACACTAATGGTAAGAGGACTTGGCTTATACACAAAGCCGTGATCGTGAGTGGCTTTTAAGTAACCTAGTATTCTCTTTACCGCAGCCCAATGAGCACTTGTAGGAGAATGCATGAACTGACAAACTTGGTTAAGTGCGAAAGCATTGTCAGACCTAGTGAAAAAATAATAATATTGCATAGCCTATATGAGACTCCGGAAGTCAGTACCATATGAAAGTGGTTCTCCCCATTAGATCCATTTCCACCATTGCCATTGCTAGAGTTCCTTTGATATTGCCCCACAAATCCAACACCATTATAATTTTGAGAATTGGAACTAGAACCATATGAACCCTCTCCTTGATAAAACGACTTGTTAGCACCTGTTACAGAAGACTCCCCTTGGTAAAATTGTTTTTGAGCTCCACCGGCAAAAGATTCACCCTGAGAAAGCATGCTTGTCATTGGAAACTGCATTGTAGTTTGATATTCTTCAGCTATCTTTTCTGCACTTAGTAGTTGTGCATGAAATTCCTTTAAAGTTATAGGCAACTCTCTTGCCACAATCACAGGTCTTATCATGTTATACTCAGATGGTAAGCCAACTAAGGCAGCAACAATCAGATCATTCTTTGAAATATGTTCTCCTGCAGCTTGTAATTGATCCTTCAAATGTTTAAGCCTTAGCAAATATTTTCTCTATTGAATCAGTTTCTTTCTTGATTATGTGTAGCTTAGTCTTGAGATGATTTATCCTTGCCATTGACACAAAAACATACCTATCAGTAAGTTGTGTCCAAGCTGTCTACATATTCAATTGCCTCATCGCCAAGTGTTGCAATCAGAAGACTAAGTAATGCCTTATCGGTCTTTATCCACTCACGATACACTGCAGTTATTTCCTTTGTCACTCCACTCTCCAAAGACATTACATACTTAGAAGGACAAATATTGGTACCATCAAAGTAGTAAAAAAATCATATCCTTCCAAGACAGATTGAAATTGAAAAGACCACTTAGCAAAATTATCATCTTGTAACCGAATTGTAAGCATTCCCAACAAACCTTTAATCTTGAGTGGTGAAGAACTCATGTTGCTATAGAAGAACTACAATTAGCCAAACAAACAACTCCACAGAGAACTTAATTCTTCAGAAATACCAATTTCAATCACCTTATATCAACTATAATCACATTTTATCTCCAAACTATATATCAATCAACAATATTATGCAAACAAATATCTTTTACCCATCAAATAACATACTTCGTTTCAATAAGACCAAATTCATACACATCAGAGAGCTTCGTGCCCTAATTTGTGTTTTCTGGAAAGAAATGGGAGCTTCATGCTATAATCCTTTTCAACAATTCAAGATTTTGAGAATAGTAAGTTTCGTGCTACAACAATATCAGAATCAGATTCAATATCCAAAAAACATATATGGCTTCGTGCCTCAACGATTTTCCAAGAAATTCAACATTTTCCAACAATTACATAAACCAGAATTGCTTCGTGCCTCAATTTTAGTCTCAAGAACAATCAATCAACCTGAGAATAAAAAAGAAAGAACTTGATTTCACAAGTATCGTCAAGATCCAAATAGCACCGCCATTGTTGAAACTTCGAGAAAAAGAACCAGCAATCGAGAGGAAATCTGATTTGAACCAGCACTGACTTGCTCCAATTAGCACCGTGCCCCCCAAAAAGAATGAACCGACTCGATACCATCATAACAGTTGTTACAGGAAGCAAAAAAATGACACATAGAGTTTTAGAGAGAGAATTTAAAGATGCTTTTGTATTACAAAGATAAAACCTTCATTACATTGTAAAGCGAACCCACTCACTATTTATGGAAGATATGAAACTTAATAACTAAGTAACTTCTAACTAACTAATATCCAACGGTCACCAATCTTCCAATCTAGCTAGAATCCAATGGTCAATCAAAGCACATGTTTAACTAAGATTGTGCCACTTGGCATTTACATGGTTAATAGAAATAATGTAAGGGCCCAAGATCCTTCATAGAAATAAGCATCGGGTGCACAACTACCCTACCTCTTATGCCTCTCACGAATCTTCAAAAACCATAACTATTAGGCATCATTCAAAAAATTTCTTTGTTAACATGGTTGACACCGTTTAAACTAAAAAAAACAATCGAATTGAATTGCACATACCGCTATTGCTGTCAGCTTTTGTAACTTGTGTCACTATTTACCAACAAAATTTGAAAAGGTAAGGGACCAATTTGTAACAAAAAAACATTTAGGAATTGGGTGAATCAAATACAAAAAGTCATGGGGTAGTTGTGTAATTAGAGAGAAATAAATAAATAATGAAAATAAAAGCACCGAGCTAGTCGTTGCTGAAGTCTCCACTCCAAAAGTCCAAACCCCCCAAATCCAAACTTCGTTAAACCCTTCTCCCTCGCTCGTTCCTTCTCCTCCCGCACTCACAGAGCAAATTCTCCTCCTCCTCCCGCACTCGCAGAGCAAATTCTTGTCTCTCAGAAAACTTCAATTATGTACGGAGGCGGTGAGTTCATCAAAAACCTAACAGCACTCGCATGCCACAAGATTTCTCATTCTTTTTCTTAATTTTTTTTTCTTATTTTTTGGTGATTTTTTTTTTTTTTTTTGGGATTTCTGGTTTCTTTGGTTGCAGATGAGGTATCAGCTATCATCCTCGACCTCGGCTCCCACACTTGCAAAGCCGGCTATGCTGGCGAAGATGTGCCCAAGG